ACCAAACTGACCATCTTATCTCCTGCCCCAGCACTGCCTGACCAAGTGCTCCTCTATTTTAGTTGGTGGTAACTCCACTCACCCACCCGTGCAGTCCAACTGGAAACCTGCATCACTTCTCCTGAGCTAGTTACCAATTCCTGTCCATTTTAAGTGACTCCTGAATGTGTAGTTTCTATTACACTGATTGCTTCCTTACATTATTTCTACCTAGAATACCATTACATCTGCTCCATGGTTCCCCCAGCCTGCACTCTGTGTTCTATACATCTCCCCATCTCAGTAAAATTACACTTAACATCATATGTATTGCTTATTTGTGTCCTCGAATAGCTCCTGAGTCCTTCAAATGCAAACATGGTATATTATCCCCTTTAATTTTCTTTCTTTCTTATTTTAAAAACGTAATTGGTTGTTGCAAGGTCTTACTATGCAGCTCAGACTCTTGGCGATCCTCCTGCTTTCAGTCTCCCCCGTGCTGGGATTATGGGCGTGCGCCACTATGCCTGGACTCTGGCTGGCTCAGCTCACCCTGGGGCAGGGCTGGCGTGGCATGTGGTGCTGGAGATGGAACTGTGGTCCCTGTGCCTGCTTAGCTTGCCTAAGCAGTCACTGCTTTAGTCTGCTGAGCTAGCTCACTGGCTCCTCCCCTTTAATTTTCTACAATTAGATGACAATGTGCATAGAGTATACATTCAACTGACATGTAGTGAATGGATGTATAAGTCTCAAACCATCATACCTAGTGGTATGATTTTCAGGAAGTGAGATGAGTTCATCAACAAGATTCCTGCTCACCCAGCCTGCCTGATCCTATTACAGCTAACTAAGTGGCTGCCTGTTACAGCTAACTAGGAAGTTATGGACACTACAAGTTGATTTAAGCATATGCACAGTCTCTAATTCTTCCACAGCAATAGGTCCCCATTTTCTCCATATTTAGCTTTCAAATAAAATGTTCACTGTCATTTTTATGCCTTCTTTCAAGACTTACTATTATTATTATTATTATTATTGTTATGGCCAGCTTAGCACACCCTGGGGGAGGGGCTGGCATGGCATGTGGTGCTGGGGATTGAACCGTGGTCCCTGCATTTGCCTACACTAGCCTAAGCAGGTACCTTAGTTCCCTGAGCTATCTCACCAGCTCAAGACTTATTTTAAACAAAAAAATTCCTCCTTGGCTTTTATTGTTACAAATATTCATATTTTAGTCTTTTCATTCTAACTGCAAAGCCCAGCCGCTGCCCCATCAAGCCATAAGGCTCTGTCAACACACTGTACATGTAAAAGACCACAGGGCAGAGGTGAACTGACAGTTGGCTTGTGAAGATGAGTCCTCGCACTCTGCCAGCTCCTGACCCAAAGCCAGGCTTGTTTTGGTGTGTGCACTCCTCCCCCAGAAGCCTTTGTCCCAGGATGTAAGCCCACTCCCACCTGAGCATCACAACTCAGATGTCACGGGAAGAAAAGGAATTGTCATTGATGATTGAGCTACAGTCAGGATTGTACGGATTAGAAGGAAAAGGCCTGATCCCACAGGAGACGGCAGGCTCTTCCAGAAAACCACCCTAACTGACCTACAGAGTGGACGTCTTAAGGAACTTGGGAGTCCTGACATGACTGGGATGGAGGGAAGAAGAGTCTTCATAAGGGAGGAAGAAAAACCAAGATGGAGCACAGAAACTTCAGAACAAGCATGAAATATGGCCCTGGGTCTGTACTTTGTGTGCAATTTTTCCATAAAAACTGTCTGAAATGATTCTTTTAACTAAAAGGAAGGAAAGGAGGAGGGATGGTGGGGGAGGGAGAGGAGGGAAAAAGGAAGGAAGGACGGAAGGAAGGAAGGAAGGAAGGAAGGAAGCAAGCAAGCAAGCAAGCAAGCAAGCAAGCAAGCAGCAATTGGGGATTGGCCAATGAGAATTGTTTTTCATTGCCAATGGCCTGAACAGTTGTAGCCTAATCCACACTAGTCCATGTTATGCTTTTTCTGCATTACTCCAAGGATTCGGTAAAGTCTACTTTGACCTGGTGTTAGTGGTACTTTGGAAATGGAGGAAGGAAATGATGCCCAGGATAGGATGAAGCAATGAAAAAGCCTTAGCACTCACAAGGGAGGACCAGAAATTTAGGGCAAGGATGGACAGGAGACCACAGGAATGCAAACCTCATTGACACTGTGCTATCCAGTACAGTAGCCACTACCTACCTGTGGTTACTGAGCTCTTAAAATGTGACCAGCCCAGATCAATATGTGCTAAGTAAGAAAAAGTCAAATATCTCAATATATTTATATCAATTACATATTGAAATACTATTATATATATATATATATGGTTAAATAAGACATATCAAGAAATTAATTATGCTTATTTTCAATTTTCATATACCTATTAAAATATTTGGAATTACATAGTTTTGCCCTAGATCCCCATTGGAAAATGCCATAGTAGAATCTTGGAGGAAGTCATGGCTTTCTATATAGTACAGATCTTAACCTGCTTTAGAGAACTTAACTCGCTTTGTTTGGATGTTAAAGAAAAGGGTGAACCTAGGAAGACAAGACATAAGACAGTGGAGAATGACAGATTAAATGAGAGAAAAATACACATTTACAAGGATAGATGACATGCTCAACTTAGCAACATTTCGATAAATCAAAAAATAATTCTTAGGAGTAGCAGGTGCTTTTCATCAAAAATTCAACTTGTGAGGAATACATTTATAATGTGAAGCAAAGTGGACATTCAGACCTTCCATCACAAATAAGTTACATTTGATCTTCAGTTTTAAACTAGAAGAGAAAACACCCAAATAAGGAAGTAGCCAACCCAAGCAACATGGAAGGATGTGTACTCGAATACCTAGATGCACTGAACACAGACTGCCCAGATCTGAGAAATTTCACTAGAAACATAAAAAGTACATAAAAGGACCAAAGTCATCTATGTGCTGTATTTCTTTCCTTCTAAATGCACCCCCAGAGTCATGTCTCACAAAATTTATAAGAAAAAATACACAGAATGTTGATTTCAAGTTAGCTGTACTTACACAACCAGGAAACAGCTTTCTCTTTGACACCCTACCCCAGTACCTCTAGTTCTGCAGTGCACACATCAGTCTGGTTGTCTATATGCAGAATATACAAACTCCAGCCCCAGAGTGACCTAAGTGCCATATGGTCTAGTCTTTTTACTCTGTACATAAAGAATGCTGAGCCACAGACCCAAGAAACTTGCTGAAGTCACCATGTCGCTGAATGGCAACAGCAGGACTCCAGCTCTGTGGTGTGACCACACCCTTCCATCCTGGGTGCCTCTCTAGTGTCTCCTAGTGACTAACTTAGATTGTTTGAAAACTTTGGTTTGGTCATTGTTCTCATTCAGAGGGGAATCAAGGAGGATAAATATAACCCTTATCCACCAGGTAAACTACATTATTATTATTTTTTAAAATTTATGTATTTGGTACAGGATCTCACTACACAGCTCAGACCCATAGTGATTCTCCTGTTTCAGCCTCCCTAGCACTGGGATTACAGGCATGTACCACCACGCCCAGCCTCTGTGGCTAGCTCAGCATGCCTGGGGGCCAAGCCAGCAGGGCATGTGGTGCTGGGGATTGAATCCTGTCCCTGCACTTGCCTAAGCAGACACTTAATCCATTGAGTTATCTCACCAGCCCTACATCATTTGGGTTTATAAGGCATATAGTAATGATTTTTTTTATATAGAAAAGTGGTTGCTATATGGGAACAAATTAACATTTCCATCAGCTCTTAGAGCTATCCATTCCCGCTTCCCAGTGGCAAGAGCAGCTCTGGCTGTCATTTAGCAATACCTGGCTGGGATACACTAACCACCCTCACACAGCAAACAGCGAACTCAGTTGTAGGAGTTGAATGTCTTCCCTCCCCCCTCCTCCTCTTTACCTAAGCTTCCAATGCTGATGTTTTATCTTTCTGGAAAAGTTACTCATTGGAAAGTTACTATACTCACTGAAGCAAATAGCCATGAACCCTAGAAAAGCTCCCCTTCCTTTTTTATTAATCTTTGAGGGTCAGTAAATAGCCTGGGTCTATTCGAGAGCCTCCCTGGCTGTGGGTGGGAGGCTTGGTGTAGCAGTGCCTAAGATTCTCAAAATGGAGCTCAGTTTCCAGAGATAGGTGGTGATTACGTGTAGACAACAGAGGCAAGCTAGGAACGAGTGCGGGGCCTTGCCCCCACTCCGTCTCTCCCTGCCATGCGCATCCACATCCTGGGCTATGTGGATGTGCCCTCAGCTCAAGGAACCTGTTTCTGTAGGAAACACAAACCAGTCTCTTTCCCCCTTTTCTCCAGCCAGCCACGCCCTGGCTCTGGAGTAATAGGCCAGCATGTTTCATATTGAGATGCAGACCTTTGTGAGCCTGGAAGAAGGACTTGTTCATGGAAATCAATCTCAGATTGACAGCTTCTCGGATGGGAGATGTTTTTCTGCCTGAAGGCCTTCAAAATGTTAATTCCCACTTAACACAAATACACACGCGTGCGAGTGCACATGCGCATGCACGTGCACACATACACACACACACACACACACACACACACACACACACACACAGAAAGAGAAAAGTCAGGGACTTAGCACTCAATACAGCAGGTTTCCCAGTCCTTTAATGAATGGATGCTGGAATAAGGTCACTTCGCAGTAGGAATCTTTCATTTCAGAGTGAAATAACTAGAAGGTACGACACACAAAATCCTGTTTTCATTGTTCCTCCATGGACTCAGTCACTCGCCCAGGTTCAGGGACCCCAGTGAGCACCCACAGGCCTAGGAACCACCGGTCTTGAGGAACCTGGTCTTCCCCCCAAGCATTTCATCAAATCACAAACAGGGGGTAAGTGAATGCCCCCAACCTGGGAGCATTCGTGCTATCCTCTAGGGCCTGGCAAGGCATCGAGGGGACAGGCACTATGTGTGACATGCTACTAAGCAGGGATGTGGCAAGCACTGTACCTTTGCAGGTGAAGCACTTGATGTGGAAATGTTTGGTCTGGACCCGAAGCACTTCGCCCTTGCATGGCTCCCCACACTTATGGCAGTGAATGACAGGCTTCTCTGATGGGTGGTGGGGGTCCTGAGGGTGGGCCACTGGAAAAACAAAAGATCCAGGTTAGATACAAGATGATCCTCACTGGGATGCAGAGCTGCCTGTGTCATTTGGAATAAATGAGTCACATACTGCTTCAATAAGCACACACTGAGCAGCTGCCCTGCCCCATGCCGTAAGCATCAGATCCTCAGATAACTCAGATAGCAGTGGGAGGGCTGGGGAGATAGTTCAGTAGAATAAGCGCTTACCTGGCAAGCTCAAGGTCCTGAGTTCAATCCCCAGTGCCACAAAATAATAATAATAATAATAATAATAATAAGATAGCAGTGGCTTTAACAGTCCAGTGGGACACACTGGGCTTTCTCCTCTATGGATCCTGCTGTGCACTCCCTTTTGCCCCAGCTTCTCTAGGACTACACAACTGGGCCATTAGTATGCCGTCTTGCTTGTTTCAATATTCAATATTTTTTCTTGACACTAGGGATTGAATTCAGGACCTTGTACTTGCCAGGCAGGCACTGTGACACTGCGCTATTACCCTGGCCCTGTTTCAATATTCTCAAACATGCATTTGCAGTATCTTTTACTTGAGCTAGTGTGTTTTAGCCCGGATTTGTTGTAGAGTATAAGTTCTCTGTGCGTGGGCATTTCTTTGAGCTCATGGATTTGTTTCTTCCCACTTCCACTCCTCTTTCCTCTCCAGCTCCTATGATAGAGCAGAATCCTCCTGCACTAAAGAAGTGCAGGAAGCATTGATTTGCTTTGTTGTTTTTTTTTTTTTTTAAGAGAATAAAATATAAGAAAAAAACATTAAAAATGACACAGAAGTTTAAAATAAAATGATAGGAGATCAACTATGGTTGTTACATTGCATATTACTATCTTCTGAGTAGGTGCTTAGATTAGCAGATATAAACAAGTAAAATTGGTCAAAAAATTAAGCATTAACTATTCCTTACAATCAATCAATCAACCTATCTATCTACTTTTTTTTTTTAACCTTTCTTCTTTTTTTTCCCTTTCCCTAGCAGTTCCTTTCCCTTTCACAGTATCTAGTATGCCTTTCAGATTTTGTTTACTCTTTCAGGTTCTTACTCTAAGGAGACAATATGATGTTTATGCACGTGGGTCTGATGTGTTTCACTGATGAGTATGGTCTCTGGTTGCATTTGTTTAATTAGTATATGTTGGACACTTTCTGGTCAACTTCACTAGAGAAGATTTCCTGGGCCTACTTTTGAAGACTGGCCTGTAGGAGGCCTATTATGAGGCTGCCCTACCACGTGCATGGCTCCTGATAAACACACAGCAGGCAGTAATTAATTAACGCCGGACGTACTTTGAGACAATAATGCTAAGTGAAGTGATCAGACGAGTTAAATGTTGCATGCTTTTTCTCATAGGAGAATCCCAAGGTATAAATAATTTAAAGAGAAAGTAAAACATAATAGGAAACAGGGAGCTAGATCTTTTGCAAATGGGAAGAAAATCAAGAGATGGGAGAAAGAGGAAGAAAGGAAAGTAAAAAGAATTAAGGTGCATTATGTTGGTGCACTAACTCCTTACGGTGACTGTCCCATCACGTGTCACAAACAGGTATTGGTAAGAGCTTCTAGAAAATACCTAGGAACCATGAAGAACCCTTTGAGCCTGTTGCCCTTCTCCATAAAGTAAAGGGGATTGGACCAGGGATTTCTAGGATCTTTTCAGCTAAACTCACACAAGGAAACTTGGAGGACTGTTCTGTTGGTTTCCAGGACTGTGTCTCCCTTTGGTGGCATCTTAGGTATACATCTTCAGTTAATGTGCAGCTTCTTCAGCCAAAGAATGCCAACAGGGCTTTTCTGCTCTAGGATTCTTTTTCTGGTTTGGGTTTTCAGAACCCATGAGATATATACAAATGTCAGTATAATATGGGACAAGAAGACAAAAGCCTAAAAGTAATCAACTAACATAAAGAATAAAGGTCATTTTTTTTTCTCAAGTGGTAACATGGCACTGGGCAAGCATTCAGGGCCAGATTCTGCTGAGATTCGATTTAGATAACACCTTGTGAGCCAGTGTGGTGGTGCACAACTGCTATCTGTTAGCCCAGCACTCTGGGAGGCTGAGGCAGAAAGATGGCAAATCTGAGTCCAGCCTAGAAAACTTAGCTAGACTCCCTCAAAATTAAAATAAATAAATAAATAAATAAATAAATAAATAAAATAAAAAGGGCTGGGGATTTACCTCATGGTGAAAGTCCTGGTGGTCAATCCCTAGTGCAGAAGGAGCACCTTATAGTAAGAAGCTCACTGTACATGTGAGTATAATAGCTCGTTGTTTCTCTCAGGACTCTGTAATCTTCTCATTTCACATGGAGAGAGTCCGAGCAAGACAGTCCAAATAATCCATTACTGGCAACACTCTGAGCAACAAGGTTCTTCTTGTGAAATATGGCCTAAGAGCAGATGCAGTTTCGGGTCAAACACCTGATCTGCACTCTCTGTACCGGGTCCTGGACCCGCCAGGCAAGGGACCAGCATTGTACTTCGCGGGCATTTCCTTATCTACCCGCTGGGATCTCTCTGGGAAACCTGCATTCACAACACAGCTCAGAGTTTTCTACAGGAATTAAGGAGGAGCATGCTATGACCACTAACTTTGAAAGTGATTTGTATCAAGAGCAAAAATATACTTGCCTGGGCAATAAGAACAAGTTTCACTCAAAAAAAAAAAAAAGTTTCTGTTGCAAGTACTGGGAAACAGTATGTGAACTTTTAAAAAAGCTAATTCCTGCTTCTAAGGGAAATAACATTTCATCTTCACTCAGCTTGTCTTCTCAGTGAAGTGGGCAGTACTGTTGCCCCAGAGGAGTTGAACAACTCACCCAAGTAACATGAATGTGAGCACAAAGGTTTATGCCCAGGCCATCCTGACTAAGTGTGAAATCCTCCCATGCTGTAGGAATCCGAAATTGTTACAAATCAGGCAATGATTTCTTTAGTGGGTCTAAAAGCGACAGCGAGGATACAGCTTATCAAGGAAGCACCCAAACAAAGTACAGTGGTAGGGTATCCAGAGCGTGGTGATGATTCTCAAGGTGACCAAGCTGATCCCTGAATCAGAACCCCTCATGCCAGTATTACAAAAGCACTTTTTTCTCTCACCCCAGTTAAAAATGGTTATTACCAAAAAGTCTAAAAAAAAAAAAAAAGAATGTTGGCAAGTATCTGGAAAAAAGGTAACTATCCTACACTGTTGGTGGGAATGTGAGTACTGTCCTTATGGAAAGCAATATGGAAGTTTCTTTTTTTTTAAATGTATTTAGTACAGGGTCTACAGGGTTTCACAACCCTGTAGGACTCGTAGTGATCCTCCTGTTTTCAGCCTCCCAAGCACTGAGATTATAGGCGTGTGCCACCATGCCCAGTCTCATTCGCTCAGCGAGCCCTAGGGGTGGAGCCAGCATGGTACCCCAGGGATCAAACCTCCGGCCCTTGTGTCTGCCTAAGCAGGTGCTTTAATCTGCTGAGCTATCTGGCTGACCCTGCAATATAGAAGTTTCTGAAAAAATTAGAAATAGAACTGCCATACGATCCAGCAATCCCAATGCTAAGTAGTAGGTGGAAGAAGCAACTGCGCCTGTGTGCTTACTGCGGCACTGCCCTCAGGAGCCAAGGAATGGGATCAACCTAGGACAAGGCAAACGTGGAACGCATACACAATAGAACTGAGCCATTAAGAGAATTAAATATGCCATTTGCAGCAAAATGGAGCAGGAAGACACTTTGTTAAGTGAACTCAGTCAGAAAAAGAAAGAGAAATACTACGTGTTCTCAAATATATGTACGGATGCCAAAAAATTGATCATGTAGAACAGATAATAGAGTAGCAGCTTCCAAGGTCTGGAAGTGATGTGGAGTAAAGGAGGGATGGAGAGGGGGTGGCTAATGGGTGTGGGGTACCCCATAGGAAAAATAACTTCCGACGCTCTGCAGCATGGTAGGATAACTGTAGTTCACAGTACTCATTTCAGAAGAGCCAGGAGGATTTGAACGTTGCCAATCCAAAGCAATGGTAGATGTTTGAGGTGAGAGCTACGCCAGTTACCTGGTCTGATCATCACACACTACATGCATGCATTGGGGTATCATACCATGTCCCATAAATATGTACAATTAGCATGTCAAAAGATAAGTATTTAACAATTGTTCTACCTGTGCTGGGCAAGGTGGTGCAAACCTGTAATTCCAGCACTTGGGAGGTTGAGACAGGAGGATCACTGTGAGTTCAAGGCCAGTCTGAATTGCATAGTGAAACCCTATTTCAAAAAAAAAAAAAAAAAAGAAACAAACACAGAAAAGAAAAGAAACTCCAGTGCATGACAGAAACTCAAAATCCCATTTTTAATATGTCACTTGTCAGTATCTCAGAGAATGGAATTAAATCTGAGGCCTCTGGCAGGATTCTTCTATTTCAGGCCTTAGAGGAAGCCACAAAACCTAGGCCTTTGCTATGCTGGGATGACTGAGCCACCCTTAAAGCCAGAGCCAGCCTTGCCTTGCCTAAGCTATGTTATTCTAGGGGACACACTACGCTAGATCATGAGAAACAATGCGTCAGAGGAAGCACTTCTGAAATTAAACCCCCCTTAGCAGGTAGAAATCGAAGTGTATGACAGTTTCAGTATGAGCTACGTCTCGCTCTGGGTCACCTGAAATTTTCAGCCTCCCAGGTAACAAGTGAGCCCTTCCAGGTCCCCTCCCCTCTCTAGAACCTCAGACCAGTCCTTGAAATAACACCATGCTTGATGGCTTTCTAAGCCCTCGTATCTACAGTGTCATTTCTCTCCCTCAGAGCTCCGTAAGGTAGCGTTATAGACAGCTGAGTTAGATCAAAATATTATAGGCAGTCAGACAGGGCTAGGCCCTCATGGGAGTCAATTCAAAAGATGAAACATTACAACGGTGGCTGGAGGTACATCTGTTGGAGGCCAGGCCTCAAGACAAAGATGGAAAGACCAGGCCTACAAGCCTCCCCCACACATAACTGATAA